TGTATATCGTGATAAATATTTTTGGTCATATCGCCCTGCTCTAGGTGAACCCACTGTGAAACCTGGCCCCACCCTGTCATGTGATTTCCTGAGGTCAGATGACCCAGGATGTGAGTGGGCATTAAGTCGTCTGGGAAGGATCTCAAAACTGGATTATAGATGGCAGACAGTTGGTGTCGTAAGCCCCGCCCTCTTTTCAAAGATGGACATTCACAGTGAACATAGATGCTTCTTTCACTCCTCTTTCAAACCATCTGTCTTCTCTGTCCTACATGTGGACATTGGTGTCCTCAGAGTGACCGTGTTTATGAACTGTTTGGTGTCTCCAGTGTAGAGGTCCTCTCTGCACAGCTGTGTTGTTGAGTGTGTGTCTGGGTCTGAGCTGGAACACTGTGCAGTGTCACTGACTGTGTTTATGGTCTGCTCACTGCTTCCTGCGTGGATTAGCTTAGGAAATCAGAGCAGCGTCCAGAGAGGAAGTGATGTTTACCAAGCTCATGTGTCTGTGGTTCCCTCTCCTTCTCTTCTTCTGTGGTTCCATGTGATGCCTGGTTCTGGTTTTCTGAGGTTTCTAAGTGTCTGCTGATGGTTCGAGTTTTTAGCATTAGCTCACAAACGCCACAAACACTGCATCCTTTAACAGACAGGAAGTACCTGCAGGTGAGGCCACGCCGCCTCCAACGTGGGCTCGTCCTCCTCAGGGTCAAACTCGGCTCCGGTCGGGTTGGAGGACGGAGGAAGAGTCCGGAACACGTTGACTGAAAACTGAACAAAATAAAAATAAAAGTTATTTTAATTACAGAGTAACAAACCAGAAGTCTGTGGTGGAGACCATTCTCACCATGATGACGGCCTCGGGGTAGATGCACTCAGTCACCACTTCACTGTTGTGCGTGATGTACTCCACCATCTCGTTAAGCCCCGCCCTTTTCACCTCCTTGTACTTGAGGTCGCTGAGGGGGTCACTGATGAAGTCGAAGAGCACGCAGCACTGACGCAGCTTCTGCACGAATAGATCCTCTCGCTCTATCGGTGGTGCGTCTGAGAGGGGAGGAGTCAGAAACAACCACACAACACAGTGGTGGTGACATCATCAGTGATCTCACCAAATGTGATGAAGGTCCAGCCAACCAGAACCACCGACTGATGAAGCACATGCGCTACCATTGACATGCTTTACAGCCAATCACCTAGTTCTATTTACAGCCAGGGGATTCTACTGCTGCAGTCAGCTGATTCTACTGTCAGCTGATTCTACTGCTGCTGATTCTACTGTCAGCTGATTCTACTGCTGCAGGCAGCTGATTCTACTGTCAGCTGATTCTACTGCTGCTGTCAGCTGATTCTACTGCTAAGGGTTCTACTGTCAGCTGATTTTACTGTAGCTGATTTCACTGTCAGCTGATTCTACTGCTGCTGTCAGCTGATTCTACTGCTAAGGGTTCTACTGTCAGCTGATTTTACTGCTAAGGGTTCTACTGTCAGCTGATTTTACTGCTGTTGATTCTACTGTCAGCTGATTTTACTGTCAGCTGATTCTACTGCTGCTGTCAGCTGATTCTACTGCTAAGGGTTCTACTGTCAGCTGATTTTACTGCTG